TGTCACCTTCTAATTACGCCCTGGTTGAATCCCCAAGGAAGAACAACACAAGAAGGGCGTAAAAGTGGAAGCCACCCGGAGGAGGGTTTATTGTGCACAGAGCCCGGAGTTGCTGGCTCGGATGGCAGTGGCCGCTGGCGTTAGCCAGGGCCTGATGTGGACTGTATCCAGTCACGTCTGACAGTCTCTGCAAGCCCCTGTCCGTGTTGCAGTTCACTGTGTGAGAGGTGGCAGTTGCTTATAAGTGATTGTCAAGCGAGTTCAAGTGTTGCATGAGTGGTGTGTGGATTACTCGAAGGGTTTCGAGAATTGAGGCCACCTACAGCGTGGCGCGCCTAAGGGGCTCTTGAGGAACTTCGACTAGTCGGGCACGTGCGTGGGCTCGCATGCGTGTGCGCACGTGTGTGTGTATGTGTGTATGAGGGAATGTCCGGTCCAGCGGTTTAAGATCATTGCGTGGGAACAGTCAAAGCGGAGCCACAAGACCTTGAGACAGTCCGCATTGACAAAGGAATCGTTGTTGAAAGTCTGCCACAGGTACAACGCGTCAGGACAGCCTGAAGTTAACTCCAGTTCAGGTCACGCTATATGAGCGTCCTTAACCCTCTGTAGGTCTCTGTTTATTTACAAATACAAAAACACCTTTACCATATCATCGGCCATCCAGAACTTTTTTGAGATGGAGAGTGTAGCTTGTCTGTTTTTGGAAGTTATTCGATTTAAGTGGACATTTAAAGCACACCTAGGAGGTGGGACAAACGATCCCAGAAGTGACACCGTTTCGTACTTTGTGGGAAACTCCTAGTTTAAAGGTGCTCGAGCAAGCCTCTTACATCGTAATTCTCGGTTGTCTAGATGAGAGTAATTAAGTTCCCCATCATAAAGGAATGGGGGAGGAGCCTGCTCCATAAAACTACGGGTGGCGCTGCCCAATTTTATAAATTCAATCTGTCCAGTTGTTAAGTAATCGCTTTCTCTCTTTCTACCTAGCTTCTGGTGCAGTGAACCGGCGTCTGAGCAGCACCGGCAACATTCCCCGACCTCGCAATCGATCCGCCTCAATGGACGAGTACGACCAACCTCAGGGCTTCAAAAATCTGCTCTATGACAACAAACGCAAGTACACTGGTAGCGGCACCATACAAGACATTGAAGAAACGGACGCGTAGGAATGATGAGCCCAGGAAAAACGCGCAGCAGTACCAACAGAGAAAGCGAAAACAATCTTCTTTCCATCCTCCCTCGGCTAGGCAGGCTGCTCAATTTCACCCCCTTTTTGCCAACAGACAACTCAAAAACACATGCGCTGTTTTACTATTATCTCGTCCGAAGCTCATCTATAGTCTGGTGATTTTAAGCCCATGCAGACGTTTGTTCTGCTTCCCCCAGCCCTATATGCGTTGGTGTACTTTATGCCGTAGCTCGCACACACGCACACACGCGTGCACAACCACATCTCTACAATGACGTTTCTGTCTGGAGATTTACGATGGAATTTCCTCGTTCATCTGCCGTCCAGTCTTCTCTCTGCCATTGGTTTCCTCCTCTTGGTCTCTCAAAGTGCGTGCATGAGGTGCGCAAGTCCCGTAATCTTGATTAGCACGGAAGCAAGCGTGTGTGCGGTATGTCTGTATGTGTCCTAGCTTTTGATTACGGCGGACCTGTTTCGCTCATTGCCTTCCCAGAGCGTTTTTGTGATTGAATTTACAAATAATTGTTGAATATTAACTAGTAACTGCATTACCAGATCAAAACTCTTCTTACTTAATTAAACACTTATTGAGTGGAGGGTGGGGTGGGTAGAAGGGTTTATCCACGTATATAGCCTGTCTCATAGCCTCCCCCAAAGTGAGATTCCGAAGGTGAGCCTAAGAACAAGAAGCTCTTAAACAAATGGGACTAGTATGGGAGTCTTGGGGAATGGCGGCTCCATACATAATGTGCAGTAGGATTTCAAAAGTTGAGAATTATACGGCCTTTTGAAAAATTCAGTCATACGCCTCTTAGTATACTGCTATGTGAACTATTAATGATAACACATTAATGGCTAGCTAAGACGTCTGTAACCGCCATGACCTGTGTTACGCGAATGCGGAGTCGCCACTAGAACCAAAGCTTGGTTTTGGGATTACATCCCTTAAGAAGTGTGTATAACATCCGTCTTGGAGGAACAGTTCTAGATTAGGCATTTATGGAGATATACACACCACACAAGAAGTTCAGATTTTCCATGGGTCACGAAAACACTTAAGAGGCATTAGCTGAGTTCATCCTAATGCGTTGCAAGGCCTTTTCAGTTTTTATTTTACTCCAATAACTACACTTACTAGACGAGAAAGTAACTGAATGAGATGGGAACCAACTTCATATGAAAACCCATAGAATACAGCACAATCTGAAATGCTGTTCGGAAGCGGTACTTAAAGCGTTCAGCCTATTTTACTGAAGATACGAAATATATTTTAACAGTGAACTAAGTTACAGGCGCCAAACCCAACTTTTGAAAATTGACTTTCTCCAGCACTCTCACACGCGGAGACTAGATTAACACTTCACGTTCACGGGTGCTGGCAACTGGGTAAGACGACCCATAATGAGTCTGACTAGATTCGAAAATTAATTCGCTGTTCAATCGGTTAAAATTCCTATTCATTAGAAATAATTAGCAGGTCGTCCGGTCCACAAACCTGAGTCGTCTACATGAATTAACGCAGAGCTTTTAATGGCGTTTTGCTGGTAAAGAAAAGAAAGGCAGATGTGACCATTTTCAGCTTGACTTTTATGAATTATCATGCCATTCTTCGCAGCTGAAAAAAAAACCTGACTGACTTGGTGATTGCGGATCTTGACTGATCGGAATCAAACACGTGCTTCCAGCACCGCAACCAAATCTGCTTATCTGGTATTGCTAATGCAAGCGAAAATGCGCGTCCCAGTAACCATTAAAACGACGGTCAGATCGACGGTATTCTAGTCAGTTAAAGGTTCCGCAGCTGGATCAATTATAGCAGATCCATGCGTGATTCCGAGACTGGTAACACCCATGGGTCGGACAATATTCTCGTTCGTACACGCTTGACAGTTCATCACTCATTTGTTTCCAAAATGCCTCGTGTTAGACATTTCGATGTTGCTAAAATCCGACAGCCCAGACCAGCCTAGTACTACCAAAGCCCTGAGCAGCGCAACTCGGTCTTGTTTTACTACCCGAGACGACAGCGAAGGCAGTAAACAATGCCTTGGAAAAATCAGTCGATAGGGAAGCTGAGAAAACTCTTGAACAAACCCAGCGACGTCGCAGTAATTAGATCAGCGGAGGGACCTTACAGTCGTCTGCTCAGACGGCTAGAGTCAGGTCTCGTAATAATAGTCCCTTCCGCCAACTCCAGAGAATGAAGGTAAAAACTGTTAGAGATGACCGAAATAAAAAATGGGTCACAAATAGCGACTGCCATTAAGCAGGTCTCAATCGTTGATGACGCTCGAAAAGGCTTCCAAATTAGCTGGCAACTTAGTGGTAAGCGCTCTCCACTGAGCGACTCTATTTGCAGCGTCACTGGCGGCTTTAGTGCTGACAACTTGGCTAAGGTTGAGGACCGGCGTGAGCACTTTGAGCACCTTAATTTCGATATCGATCCTAGGAACCCCTTGTTCCCGTCTGCAGTGAAGTCTTCATCCTCCGCAACTAATGCAATGTAATTCAACCTTTCTTCCGAAGGC